TTTTTTTTTTTTTTTGGGGGGGGGGGTGTGTTACTTCTCATCATACATGCGTGAACCTTTTGACTTCAATATACAGACACGTTCTATAAGAAACTATTTCCATTATCACCACAAAAAATAGCAACACTACTTCATTCTTCATCTAATCCTGCATGCAAGCTCATAACTTCAGAATTCCCATATCTTGAAGCTGCAAAGACATATGATGCCACAGTTCCCACAAGGACCGCAAGAACCGCAACAAAGAGCTGAAAGTTAGCAAGCAATTCACCCCGAACCTCACTATCAATAGAATTACACATGACATTATTGTCCCTGAGCTTACAACCACTTGGCATCATAGGGCCATAAAGAACAAACGCAGTCTGATAGAACCATAAGCCTTGAAGTGTTATAGCAATACCATTGCATAAATCCACTGGAAAGCTAGTTGGCAAAAAGGCCCCAGCAACTGAAGATAAAATGCAGAGTCCAACTTGGAAGACGAGGAGAGTGTGGTAATAGCCCTCAAGGCCCTTGTGTGTTGTTGAATGAAAGTAGAATAGGAGATACTCTGCAGTGAATGCAGAGGCAGCAATCAAACAAAGAGCACCTTCTGGCAAGGGAAGAAATCTGTGTAAGAAAAAGTCACAAAGGGAAAATGGTTAGAAAGATATATAATAAGAAGCTTGATATAGGTTTCATGCAGATCATGAAATAAAGTATATAATCAAGCACAGATCGCCAAAATGTTAGAAAAAAATATAGTTAAAGATTCAAGACTGATGAATTATGATTTGGAAAATAAAGACCTGTAGAAGTTGGAAAAAAATGAGCGGCATCAAACATTTTAGAACCAAATTTCAGAGTGTGCATGAAGTATGCGTCACATCACTCACAAGAGTCACGATTTCTTCACCTAATTTTTTATGATAATTAGACGAGTCTTTTTCAGTTTTTTCTTTACATCTTATCTGATTATTGCTTGACCAAACAAAACAAAGTATGTTAGATTGAAAAATTAGTCCTTACAGCTGAAAACTTTTTCCATTTCTTTTAGTCCCCACATGAAAAAACTTTACACTTTGTTACTTGCATGGAAAACGTTTATGAAATAATCTTTGTTATTTGTGGACATTATGAAGGTATTAAATTTAGTCCCTTAACAATATTTTTTGTCTTTTAGTGACCATATGAAAACAAATTTACTCGTTGTCTTGTTCCCTACATGAAAAACTAAATATTTTGGTCCCTATATCTAACTAACAATTTTCCAATTTAGTCCCGATAGAAATAATACTTTAGCACCATTATAGTATCAACGAAAAGTGGGGGACTAATTTGTATAAACTTGTTCCCGTAGAAACTAAAATATAGAAATTTTTGAAAAGGACTAAACTGAAAAATATGAAATGTAGACACCAAATTTTTAATTTAACCTAAAATAAATTAAGGTGAATAGCATAATTATTAGCCCACTCACAGCAATTTTTTTTTGTAGCCCCACATCCTCCAACAGACAATGATTCAATCATTGAATCAGTAACAAACTCACAGCAAATCAAACACAACTAAAAATTGTCACATACTACAGCCTATGAAATCTATAAGTGAAAAATGCAATGTGGCACAAAGAGCTAAGGATGCATCATGTACATAAAGTACCAAATCTTACGTTACACAATAGTGGGGACACTAGGCTACTTAAGAAATAAGAACTAATATATTTAGTGGACACACACAAGGAAACTTGGCCAATTCTTGAGAACGCCCATTTAAAGAACAATACAAATAAAAAACGTAGCTTCTTTATCGGGACACTCTCATGAAGTAGAAAGACAATTATGGGAAAGAATATATATGGTTATCAGATATACTCTGTAGAAGCAACAATATCCGACTTGAGAGTTAAATATCCAACAAAATCAATAGTGTGCCATTGTCTATCTAATGGAATAAGTGTTTATTTGACTATCTCTATTTTAAACACAAAATCTTATCTTGTATCTTAGCAAAGTTCTGTAACTATATTACTATCTCACCAATTTTTGTTAACTGTTTCAATCAGAATTCCATTTCTCATTTGTTTTCAACAATTTTAAAAAACCCAGTTTCCTTTGAAAGGTAACTTAGTACATAGTGTCACCACAACAGTATCAGTAAAACCCAAAGATTCATTTTGCACTATTTTTTCCTTTAGTTAATTTACAAATAAAACCAGATACCATGAATGAAAAAGGAAAAATCCAACTACTTCTGAAAAAACAAATCTATTACTATTAACCAATTTTTAACATTAGAAAAGGCAGAAAGAAAAGTAAAATCAAGACTTGGATTGACAAAACTCTAACCTGGGCTGATTAATTGAGTTAATCAGTCTTAATTCTTTAATAATAAATAGCATAGTTTATAGAATTATTTAAACAGGTATTGGAGAGAGGGGAACTAACCTGGTCTTTTGGGAAAGTAGGGCAACAACACCAAAGATGAAGAACATAAGAAGCATTCCTGAGTGCTCAAAGTCATTCATGTGGGAGGGGTTAAGGACTCCACCAACAAAAAACTTGAGGTGGGTTGAATATAAGAGCTCGATGCACATGTCAATGAAAGATCCAATTGCAATGACATAGAGCTCCAAGTGCTTGAGCTTCCCATCAAACCCTGGCACAGGATTCCAAACCCTGACTTGAAATGCCACAGGATTACGAACATATCTCACCACAGAGCCCCATATGTGCCACAATCCAACTAGAAGAAACAATGTCCCTGGCAAAGCATGACCCTTGAAAGAACCCATGCTTGTTGTGATTAACTTTTACTACTCCACAAAATATAACCTCCCTAGTAGTAATCAACTTGACTCCTAATGATTCCTTAGCTGGACCAAATCAAATAGATCGTCACCGAAGAATCCCCCCTTTATGAAGTTACCTATTATTCCTGTTAACAATAATGGCACCATCAGTTTTCAAACATCGAATAGCAGCCTTTTTGGACAGTATCTTATAAATTATAATTATAATAAATCTGCTTTTCAGTTTCCGTGCCTGCTCTATCTGCTGGAAAATTTTTAAATTCTTTATTACTTTTTGCTACAACTTAATCAAATTGTTTAAAAGCTCTCCTTTACAACAGGATCCGATAAGGCTGTTGAATTTCCCAGAGAAACTAACAAAGCCAAGAGCTGTTGACTAAGCAATCCTAGAGACGTTCTGGTTCAGTGCTTCTAGAGATTCACTTGAAAAAGAGTGATTTTCAGAGTCAAATCTGAATTCCCATTCTTCAAGGAGAGAAAAACAAACACCGACCAAATTTCTCTTAACCCAAGTCAACATTTGAAACGGTGAGGAGAAGTTGTTCTCATTCACACAAACCCATCAGAAAACCAAAATAGATCAACGAAAAGCCCCTCCAACCAAGTCAAAATCAACAGAACAAAGAACTCCACCAGGAGGAAAAATTTAGAGAAGGAAACGGAAGAAGAAAAAATAGAGATCCATCAATAACTCTGAAAAAATTTCAACTCCTATCATCAAAACCCAACAAACTCTAACCCATCTTGTTCTGTTGATTAAATCAGAAAGCATAATTTTCCATTCCCCTCCCTAGCATATCTATCAGAGACAGATTGTGTATGTGGGCATGAAAGGTGAGATTTTTATAATCTATATCAGATGCATAATTAGGCACTTTACACTGTGGATAATGGGGTTCTGAAAAAAAGGCATAAGCATAATAATAATCATAAAGTAAGAAAACAACAATGATGAAAAAGAGAGAGAGAGAGAGAGGGTGCTTTACTTACCACAGTAGTGATTGGTTTGGATGCAGAAAGTACTGTCTCCTCTCTTTTCTCTCTTCACTCTCTCTCTCTGATTCAAAAAGCTTCCTACGTTCGCTCAAATCACAACTTGATTGAATTCATAAACAGAGACAGAAAGAAAGAAAGAAAGAAGAAGGTTTGGTTGCGCAAACTGCAAAGAGTGGTGTGATGAGGGGGTTTGAGGGATCTGAAACGATTGCTGTTTGGTTTTTTGGTGTAAAAAAAGGTAGAACAACGTAGTTTAATCGACAACAAAAGTCTCTTTCCTCACTTGTTTTTGCATACACAACTGGGCACGTACATTTAACATTATCATTTATATAACATTATTTTTTATTTTATTTTTTGTTTTGAGGTGGGGTTAAAGCGATATAACAATAATTTAAAACGAATATAATATAGATTAGGTGGCTTATAAAGAAAACTGTTTGTCAAAAAGATAAATTACATGCTGTGTGAAATTAATGTCTCTGTCAATATAAGTATATTATAGAGTGTCTTAGAACAATCCGAACCTACGCTTTCTTTATTAATAATCGAAAACACGCTTAAAGTTTGACCTAAACATTTTGTTCATACTATCTCAACTTCATCATCATAAGACTGACTCTAATGAATCTCAGAACCTGTTTGTTTGATTAAGTTCAACTAGAAATCATAAAAATGTAACTTAAAAGAGTTATATAAAGTTTATTGCATCAACGAAGTCCAACTTGTGTTTCGTTGGTCAAGATTATGTTAATTAGAATTTGATTAATTATAGAAGGAAAAAAAAAAGGCATTCTCCATTGAGAGATAAATTTCATGTTTTTTTTTTTGTTAAAGAGAGATAGGCTTCATACACACGAAAAAAACATTTCAAATTTATTTTCAAAATAAAAAATTGTTTCACTTTAATTTAATTTTAATTAAAATACTTTTATAAAATTATTGTCATTAAAAAGCTAAAATTAAACTTTTTCTATAAAATATATTTTTCAATTATAATTTTTAAACATAAAAATAAAATAAAAAATCTCCACTTTAAATTTAATTGAAATTATTTTATAAAAGTAATATAGCTGAAGATTAAATTTACAGGCAATTACTTAAACATTGACCCAATATTTTGCGTGCACTCTAATTCTTGATTATCAACAGAATATTGCGTAGGTTAATGAATTACTGTGATTATTACTATAATTATTATTATTAAATGATGCAAGAATTATAGTTTATGTAGGGTGGTGGGACTCTAGTGGGTTGAAGAATATGTTCGAGATTTGAGATTTCCAAATTTCAAATGTTCCAATCTTTTTATAGTCTGGCGCCTTTGCATTTGCATGTTACTCAAACGTGGTAAGGTACGCTGACAAGAATAATTTTACAAAAATAAATTTGTTTTCAAGTAATAAAATATACTTATTTTAAATTAATAAAAAAAATATAAATGGCTTGCTGAAATTAAAAATGATCTTTAAAACAAATTGTCGTGTGATTAAAACTCCTTTGTCTTGGTTTTGCTACTTCATCTCATCCAATCCAATCCAAATGTATATACTATTTTCTCTTTTTCGAAAAAATACTACAAGTTAATGCCTGTTTTGGCACTTGTAAATAAGAAAATAAGTCAATTTTACTAAAACAAAATTAAGTAAATATTATTAGTTGAAACAAGGTTGTCTTTAGTAAAAAAAAAAATTGCAGTAAAAACTAAAGGGAATTTTTATATTTTTATGTTTTCTTCCTCTTCTCTTTATATATAAAATAATTTTGTAAAAAAAAGACTAATTTTTTATGTGAGAAACTAACATGTGTTTCTATGCTATATTTATACATAAATAAAGAGAATAATATTGTTTATGAAAGCTTTATGTATTCATCTATTTTAGGCCATTTTATCTTTAATCCTTAAACAGAAAAATATAAAAGTAGTAATTATTCTTATTTCTTCACCATTTTTTTTTTATATTCTTTACCTTCTCTTTTATGCACATTTTATCAATCGGGAGTTACTTCTACTTTTACTACTCACATAAATTAACTATATGAATAAGCTATTCAAATCCTCCGATTATTAATAACATACTATTACTTTATTTAATCTTAATTATTTTATTTTATTTTCTAAATAAAATATGTAAAGATAGGAACTGTCTCGTTTATACTAAATTTTACCTTTTTAATTTAAAAAGGTTAATTAGTTTTTTTAAACCAAGAAATTTACTAAAGTTTCACAAATGAATCCCACTATAACCAATAGATTCAACATAATTGGTTGAACAAAATACATGAATATTGTAAATAGGATGAAATTGAATTTGATTTCATAGATTAAAAAAAAAATCCTATGATATACTTAATTTTTCACATTTTATTATTCATCTCAATTTCAATTTAATATATTTCAATGTTAATTGTTAAATAAAAAATAAATGCATAGTACATTTAACTTAAATTAAAATGCACTTTAAAATTTAAAATACATGAAAAATTTTGCAAATAAAAATTTATTAATAAATTCTAAGATTTAAATATAATTTTAGTTCTTGTAAAATAAATAAGTTTTGATTCTAGTCCCATAATATTTTTTTTTCTATCCCTCTTAAATTTTGAATTATTTTTGAGTTCTCCATTATTGTGTGATTTTTGTTAGTTACTTGAGTATTTATTAGAAAGTTAAGTGATCATCCTTGATGAAACTTTCAAATGCATGTGATATTATGACAACATGTGGCAATTCTAAATTTTTTTTTTATGGATTCTTAAAATATGTTATTCATCAATGAAATAAGCCTTAGGATCAAGTATACTCACTTTAGGTTTTAGAGAAATAAAAACATTAAAAAAAATATTGGGACCAAAATCAAAATTTATTTAAAGGATGAAAAACAATCAAAATTTTTTTTTACAGAAACTAAAATTGAAACTCGTTGATTTTATAGGTGTTAAAAACATATTAATTCTTAAATCTTAAAACAGATGGACATGTATCTTAGAAAACTAGTTTAGGATCTTGTGCATTCCTAGAACAAATTGTGGGTGTCAGTGGTTCGAGTGAAGAATATTCCGAATGGCTCTCTCTTGTCGGTCAATGGCAAGCAAGGCTTTACCATGTGGAATGCCATTCTGAAGGCACTTTGTGGTTTTGAAGGAAGGCTTTGTCTTAAAGCTAGGGAAGGAAGGGGCTCTTGGATGTTTGGCACGTACCTTGGGTTCTTAAGGAGCCCTAGTTGGGTGGTTCCTTGGGTTGTCGTTTAGGATGTAAGGATGCATGTGAAGGATTTGTAGGATGGACATGTATGGAGGTTGGAGAAACTTTACACCTTGCTACCCAATACTATAGCTCCATAAATTTGTTGCTTGCAGTCGTGTTTGGTGGATTCAATGGATTCAACTACCTGAAGGTGCTGTTGCACTCAAAGTGGATGGGTAATCTTAGTAGCGTTAGTTTCCATGGTTTATGAAGGGATCACTAGGGGATGTTTCTTTTTGGCTTTTATGGTAGGATTGGGCAAGCCCTCATTCTTCATCCAAAGTTGCTAGCAATGTTGCATGGCCTTCACATTTGTTGGGAGAAAGGGTAACACACAATTTTCTACTACTCCAACTCCAAAATGTTAATTGATCTTATTCAGGGGTGACATTTCCTTGTTCCACAGGTTTGGCAATGAAATTATGGAGATACATGACTTGAGAAATTGGGATTGAGTTTGTAACATGAGCCATATTACGAGAGAAGGGTGGATGCTCTTGCAAAAATAAGAGCTCTTGGAGTTGATATAGTCTCATGGTTCCTCATAAGTATCCTGAGGCTATGGGTAGTATATTGCTAGTTGACTCTTTAAGGGTTACTTACCAGAGAAGTTCTTAATTTTGCATTACTCTTTTGTTTTCCTTTTTTTTTATCTCTCTTGTAACCCAAAAAAATTAAAGCAAGTAAATTAAGAAACATAAAATAATACAATGCAAATTGTACCTCAAGAGTTTATTCTTATTTTTTTAAAGACATCAAATTGATTGAGGACATTGATAACATTGTTTGAATCAACAACAACAAAATATGCATGTCAAATTCACAAATTTTTCATTGCCATTGTTTATAAGATAGTAGTAGGATGAAGAATGAAGTTAAAAAAAAAAAGCACAAGCAGAAAATAATAAAAGGATCTAGCAAAACAAAGTTATGCGATATAAATAATAAATATTAAGACAATATATGGATTTTAGCAACTAATTTCATCTAACGGTTACTTTGATCTCAATAACTAGTTTAACCCAATGATTACATTGACCCCAACAATTAATTTGACTCAAAAAACTAGCTTTACCTATGACTATATTGACCTTAACAATTAATTTGACCTAAAGACTATTTTGACACCAATAACTACTTCGACCTATATCTTTCTATAACAATTTTACACAAGTAACTGTGATAGTGAAGTTGTGTCTCTAACATCTTAGTTGTATCTTCCATGAGAATATAAAACCCCCTTAAAGTTATATATTTCTCCTTATGACATCAATAATCTTTCATGGCCATCGATCTTTGATTTAGTTATTCTTGTGCTACCTTCATTTCTTGCAAAGTTGGAACATGTTTCTTTATGTTTTGTTTTAGCTTTATTTTTTGTCATTTTTGTTCCCATTATACTATGGATAGGAGATAATGATATGTCAAATTTACAATTTGTTAGCATCTATGGGGAGATGATGAGATACACTCTTAAAGTAGATATTTTTGTTATTTTTTTTTTTTTGAAGAATTTTCATCCCATTCTAAATTTCATTTGAAATTATCTTTCAATGAACATCATGCATATTCTGAAGGATTTTCCTTCATCTTGATTCAAAATGACAAACACATCATTCACAATAGAGCAATTCTAGCTACAATCTCTCTAATACATTTTTTTATTATTGACTAAACTTTATTAAAAATCACAAATTATATTTACATGTTAATTTTTAAATAAAAATAAAAATACAATACATGTTAATTAAATAAAATAAGTATTTAAAATTTTTTAAGAACATAAAACGTAAAAACGTAATGTAGACTAAAATTAATAATAAATTTTAAGACTTTATTAAATACGTTTTCAATCACAATAAAATGAATAAATTTTGATTCTAATCATTATATAAAAAATATTTTATTTTTTCATTATTAACTAATCATATGCTACTTTTGTTTCTTTTGTTTGATATTACTATCTTCATCCCATTTACACACACATTTATCTATCACCTATTTTTTTTTTATTAAAAAAAAACATAATTAAAAAATAACTTATAATTAAGATGCATTCCCTTTTTTTTTTTTTTATTTTATTT